ACAAACCAAAATTTTTGTTGAAACCAGTTCCACGAATAAAAGACCAAACATGTCCTCTTTATGTTTAATAATGATAATACGTTAAACAACAATTTAAAAAAACTATTCAAAACTTTTTAGCGTCTGTGTGACAATGATCTACAAATGAAACATTTCTTTTAAAGTTGTAAAATGCTACTATCATACATATTATTATTATTATTATTATTATTATTATTATTATGTTTTAAAGGCAGTGACTACATGATACTACTCTGTAGCTTCATCGCTTCAAGTCGGTGTTTCTACTTTACAAGTTTTGAGCAGCTGTTAACATAGTTGACTCATATTTGCAACGTGTCAGGAAGAGTTTTTTTAGCATTCTTCTATAAATATGAAACATTTTCATGAAACATTGACAAAATATAAATCTAATTAAACCAAACAAAATAAAAAGCAGCAAGTAAAGAAGGAAACATCAGACACAGCAAATCACACCAATAATGAAATGAGATGAACAAATTATTTAAATGGACAAATGTGGTGAATAAGTTAATTAAAAATAAGAATGTTGTTGGGCGTCGCTTTCCTTCTGCTACACAGACATATTTATGTACTGTAGCTGATTCCCTTCTAATATGTCAAGTATTGCTGAACTTCTGTACCATGACACTGACATCTTTGCTATTTTAGACCATATATCATGATACAGTAGTATGTTTGTTTACTCCATGACTGCCACTTCTAATGTGTATGTGATGCACAGTTTCAAAAAGATTATCAAAAAAGCAAGTGCTGGCAAACTGTCTATTAAGACAAGCGGACTCCCATCAAACTAGAGCTGGCAGGGAGACACTAAGGAGCCAGGCCCTTCCCAGAATGCAAATCCTGCACAAACAGAGTCAGTGAATGTCGTGTAGAAAGTGTGGAGGTGGATTGGTGGGTCTGAGGAGACTCTGTAGAAAGACAAAGTGCCAGCATTCCAGTCCAAATGTACTCCTACTTAGTTGGAGGACCAGCTGTGAGGAGAATTTATAGGTCTGATGATTTTATTATGCAAGGAGTAGTAACCATCTTCACAACAATACAAGCTCCAGGAGTACACTATGATAATCTTCAATATCTTTGTAAGTTACCGCTATGTTGACCTTTCTTTCCCATTCAACCTCCCAGTAACAGCCTCCAGTCAGACCAATTCTATGTCGCGACTGGGGCCAAGCTTCATATCGCTCTGGATAATGAGAATATGGCTTCCCCTCACTCAGCGGTATCACAGTCCTATTGTCGTCAAACAGGAAGAGATAAATCTGTGCTGTTTTGGTCCAGTTTGTGCTCACAGTCATCTGATTAGAAAACAAGAAAAAAAACCAGATTAATTTAGAAGTCAGAGTTAAAAACAAGCAAACAGTGAAAAAATATATATATGTATACACACAAATGCATGGATCAATCGGAACACATACATATTAGAATAATTTAGAATAAAATCTTCAACACCGAGTGTTCTTCTGAAGTTCTCAGGTTTATCCATACTCAATACTGATGGACACGGCACTGCATGGGGAAGCTGTTCTTTCCTGCTGGGCACTGACAGAAAATAAGTGATATTAAAATTATAATGTAATTCATGGTACAATTAGTTTTAGTTTTCTTAAAATCTGAGTGATAATGAGATTAATGATTGTACTTTAGTAACTAAACTGGCCTCAAATGAACTTAGGTGGAGGTTTTAAGTAAATACACAGGGGGCGGTCTTAGCCTGTTTGGTGCCCTGGGCGAACAGATGCTGCTCCGGCCAGCCAGAGAATCCCGCGCCGCCCCCACCACGATGCCACCCTGGGCAACTGCCCGTGTCGCCCATATCAAAAACCGCTACTGTAAATACAATATATGTCAATACAATGTTAAGATTAACATTAATGAGGAAAATATCAGACAATCAAATGTGTTGTCTTTTGGAAAGTTGGTACATAATGTACATATGGCAGTCTAAATTGTGGATTTGGTGCAGATAATTGTACAGAAAAACATCAAAAACATTATTTCATTCCCACCTATCACAGCCATTCTGGTGTTCCTTCTCAAAGTTTTCAAATTTACCCATAGACGTCTCACTTCTCATGGAGACACAGATTCCTGGAGGGGTGATTTTTTCCTGGTGGTCTGATAGAAACACACACTTTGCCTTAAAATACATGTTCTTGGCGAAATACATTTAGATGAAGATAGAAGTCTTCCATTAAAAAATAAATACATGTGCTATTTTAGTATTTTCAGTGGTGATCCTCGTGGTAGTAAACTGATACACTTGGTTGGTAAACATCAGAAAAGGAGAAATCTGTTTTCCTGGTCCAATGGTCATATCTAGTGTACTCTACATGTTTAATGTCAGTGAGACTTTTTACACAGATAAATAAAGGCCAAAAACTGATTGCAACTTCTACTTTGTGACATTCATGAGGGATATATGTGAAATAAAATTGGATGACAGATTAAGGAACAACAACTCATTCATGACAATTTAAATACTGAAAATCCTTTTTTAATCAAACACTGTAAATCACTTTTTGGCACCCCTCTCAAGTTTTGTAACCTGCCACATTGCTGCTGCCACAACTGGGTTTAGAACATGAGAGCACGTGTGGGGGAGCACTACGCCAGCTGCTCAGGGTAAGAGGTGGAGTACACCCTGGACATATCACCAGTCTGCCGCAGGGCTATCAGACAGACAGACAGACAAAAGAAAAAAAACATGCTTCTTTCATTTTTGTTTCATATGCTTTATTTGCTTTATAAATGTTTTGCTTTTGTCTTTTCCTTTGTAGATGGTCTGACTCAGCAAATATCTGAGTGGCAGTTTGAGATTTCTCCTTTAGCCAGGAAACTCACAGTTCCACACCAGGTGGAGGCAGGACAACAACTACTGTTACGCCTCAATGAATACGGGCTCGGGGATGAGGGGAGACTAGAAAAGAAAAAGGCAAACAAAGCAAGTGTGAAACTCAAGGTTTTTAGTAAAAAGGACTCAACTCAAAGAAATGGCAACACTGCTATTTCAACTAAACAAAAGTCATCCACAAACTAAAATACCCTAAGGAAAGACAAAAGAAATGGTTTACCAAATTAAAGGTACACTTCTGCTGCCAGCAGATACCTGCTACTCACCAGCAGCTCAAAGAAAACACCAAGTTTTAACATATGCAGAATACACCACTAAATCTCACCACCAAAGACTGGTCCACACACTGACTGAGCAGTGATTCACTAGCTTAAATACGTGATTAGGAATCTTTCTGTACTTTTAGGTGCTACCTTATTATCAAAAGGGTTTCAATAGCAATTGATCTACATACACGTTTGACCTGACACAGAAGACTTTCACTCTAATCAATATAACAATAGCAACACATATGATGGCTTCTACACCTGTCAAGGCAGCTTTGCAGCAGACAGGAGTTGGATTCAAAATAAAGGGCCCATAAGCTTAAAAGCAACTTTATTGCTGAGGTTTAACATAATACAAACAAAAGCAGAACAGAAACAAAATATCCAAAACTTTTATTCTTCTTGGGAAACAGACAATGTAGCAGGACACAGCCACAAGAAAAAACATGACAAAAGATGAGTGGCAACTGAGCGAATACACACAAAAACAGAATAACAACAACATAAGACAGGAAATAAATAACACTGAGACCAGGACTAAGACTTAAATGGACGAGTCTGACACAGAGAAAGAAAACAAAACACACAAGACTGAGGGGACAGAATGGGAACACAAGAGGGGGTTAACCTAAAGATTTAGAAACTGAGAACTAAAGACATGAAACCACAACACCAAAGGTATAAGGAAATAATAAGACATGAAGACACTAAGAAATAACAGAGATATTAACATATAATCAAAACAGAATACAAAACTATAAAACAAAGATGATCAAAGAAAACTCAAAACATCCCTAAAGCTCAAAGACACAGGGACCATGGCAACACTAACATGATGTTTTAATAAGAAATATTAAGTTTTCATCTAAAATCTGGTTTGCTGGACTTAACATAAAATATTTTTAAAAGTCTAATTTTAGACTTGATTCATCTTAAATACTTCTGAAATGATAAGTTCATTTTTAAAGCACTTAAAGTGTACCATGTTGTTTGTTTCTTTTGTACAGTTTTTTTTTCAATAATCAAAAGAAGAAAAAATCTATATAAAAACGTACATAGAAACTATTATTTGAAGTAGTATAGTATATTGGTGCATTGTGTACACTGCTCGGTAAACATAAGAGGACTATGTCTGTGAAGGTTTTCAGTCATCCAGGTCATCGTAGTTTAAGGAGCTTGGAAAGAAAAGTGTCTGGACTTAAGAGGACTAGTTTTGACGTCTTCTGGTCCAATGGCGGCATCCAGTGGACCCTCCAGGCATTAAGAGTTCCGCTTTTTACAGGATGCGTTCTTATGAAAACTGGGAGTAACGACATGACTGGCGGCATTTTTCCTAAAGTCGCCAACGCGTGGACACACGCAGAAAATAAAACCGTCTGTGTGATATCTGAACACAGTGCCATACAGGTAAGATTCATCAAGAAGAGCTGGGCGGTTTTTAAAATGTAGAAACTTTATTGCTGTTTCCATATGAGATATGCAGGCAAAGGAATGACAGGCTCACACTTTTGGGCTTTCCCACTGCAAAAACACTGAGGCTAACAGCTGTGGAGGAAAGTTTTCCTGATGCCGTTGCACAGACTCGCAAGATGCGGTTTGTGTTTTTGTAGGTGACCTGATGGTAAAGAAACCAAAAATTTTGTTCTCGGCTGAACTGTAACTTATTACAGAGAACATGAATTAATGAATCGTGTTCACATGTTCAGATATTATCTACCTCCACGCCCTTTTTTAAATTAGGGTTATATATGGCAAAGGCCAAATAACCCACTTCTATTTTTGTTTACCTTGTCAAGAAACGCCCATATAAACACGCCTACAAGGCATTCGCTTTTTTCCGGTTCGCGCCAAAAACATTCACGCTCATAAACCCGCGGCAGACTGTGGAGCACGGTGGACAGCAAACGGAAGGCAGGCAGGAGTTTGTAAAGAGGTTGTCCAAAGTTGTTTGGTCGAAAAAGTTGGCGGCAGGTGCTGCTGAACTTCAAAACATCTTCATCCTGCAACATCTGGACTCACAACTCGTCTTACCGTTCTTGTCTTGTTTACGGAACACCCACAGCTGACAGAAACAGCCAGAAAACACGGGCCGGATTACCGGATTACGGTGCTAGACGGATTTGTGAGTAGAAGCGAGAGGAAAGAATTAAAATAAGGAAAAACTTTTGTATCTGTTGTTGTGGGGGAGACTTTTTTGTTTTTTAAATGGCAGGAAAAGGCTCTTTATTAGAACAGTTTGTTTTTGTAAATGAGGTTAATGAGAGAGCAAAAACACAGAGTTTTCAAATTTGGACTGAATGTGTGCTGGATTTTGTTGGGCTTTTTGGGATTTGGAGCATTTGACAAATTGTGCAGTTTTTTAAAAAAAAAAGCATTTTATTTAGATTAGCTGGCGTTCGGGCAACATGTTGCTGCGGGTGTTAGCACTGTGGGGCAGCGCTGTTACCCCACAGCAAGATGGTCCTGGGTTCAAATCTGTGACTTGAAAATTCATTTGTGGAGTTTGTATTTTTGTAGTGGATTTATATTGGTGATTCCATAGGTGTGAAGTTGAGTGCAAATGGTTGTCTTTCTCTGGGTGTCAAACAAGCAACCTGTCCATGGTGTACCTCACCTGTCACCCCATGGACTGAACTGTGACCTGGATAAGTGGAAGGAAATTGATGCTTGTGGTTGATTTGCATTGTTCCTCCTCCATCCAAGGTTCATCTAAAGGATGAACTCTCCTTTCCAGTACTTTGGCACAAGATTCCCACAGTGGGTTTCCAATAACCTGTTCTCCAGTTTTGGTTATCCTAGGTAAATTGTAGCCTGTTGTTCTAATGTGATGGGAGTGGCGCCCAGTGTGGTTCTCTGCTGCTGCCACAGTGTCTACTACAATTAAGTTGCAATCTTCCAAACCATGCTTTGCCTTAGAGAGGTTAAACACGACTCTCTCCATGCACTTGCCCAGCATTGATGTTAAAGCAACACATCTGTAATCAGCTGTATGTTTAACTTTCTTTCTTTTTCTTTTTTTAGACAGAACGGTGCAGAGTGCACCCAGAGTCCAGCAGAGTGCAGAAGGCACTGGAAAAAATCAAGTAAGGGCCTATTCCAACTCAGTAGCACAGGTCTTCAGCACATAATCAGCTGACACTGTTTTCTGACCATGAGGTTTAGACCTTGCCAAGCATCATGAAAATTACAGTGTTGAGGTTTATCTTTGCCTGCTTAGTTTTCTTCCTGAACTATTTTTCACACTTCTTTAACTCTAGGTTTCTCACCCTGCAGAGAGGCTTACTGTGAAATCAATTCAGTTTGAATTTTACATAAAACATAATACATCATAAGTATAATAATTAAATTAACATTTTCAAACTAGTATCTTGTTTTGCAGATCAGTGAAGTTGGTTCAGAGTGAAGGACACACCGAACTCAGAAAACATGGCTTGTACATCACAGTCTGCCAAAGATTATGTAAAGACTGCCAGAGTCCATCTTGTGAGAGAATTGAAGAATCTGTCTGTGATTGTGCAGAATTTGAATCAGAAAGGGGTTCTTGGTGAGGAAGAGGTCAGCTTAATACAGACAGAGAAAACTGATGAAAACAAAAGAAGAATGATACTGGACTCAGTCATTAAAAAAGGCGAAGAAGCCTGCTATGAGTTACTCAAGATTATAGACATGACGAGGAAGAGGACTTTAGGGAGGCTTCCTTTTCTTTCTGAGAAAACGAATGAAACTTCCAGAGAGACCAAGTTTGACCTGCACCACTGGATCAGCTGCTTTTCTTTCAAGGAAGAACCACAAATGGACAGGAACTACTTACAAGGTATTTTAGGACAAAAGTCTGGTTGTCACTTGTTTCATTTTTCATTATTTAGTTTCTTCGATGCACTAATTCTATAAAAATGTGCACAACTGCATTTAATTCATAGTATAACCCCAATTCCAAAAACTTTGAGATGCTAGGTAAAGTGTAATTAATTTTAAGATTAATAAGATTTGCAAAGTGTATAAAAACAGTTTTTATTCACAACTAAACACAGAAAACAGAAAAGATACAAAATATTGAAAATAAATAAATATATCCTGGAAAAGTAAATGATGCTAAAACAAACAGCTGGAGAAAGATTTTACCACTAAATCAGGAACAGTTTTAGGATAATGTTCCTTAGCCTAAAACTATAAAGACATTGGATATCTCATCATCTGCAGTGTATAATGCAATGATTCAGAGAATCTATACATGCAAGGGTCATGGCTGAAAAACATTATCGTATAACTGTGCTATTTTGATCCTCAGGCAGCACAGGTTTAAAAACGGGCATCATTCTGTCATGGAAATACCTGCATGCACTCAGAAATACTTCTATATATCACTGCCTGTGAACACAGTTCACCAGGCCGTCCACAAATGGCAATTAATGCTCTATCATGCAAAGAAACCATATTTGAACACAAAGAGAAATGCTGCTGTCTTCTCTGGGACAAAAGCTAATTTAAAATGGACTGAGGCAGGGTGCAAAACTGTTCTGAGGTTACAAGAATTGAAAGGTGAAATTCTTTTTAGTCATCATGGACATCATGTCCTTGTTATTGGTTCTCACTTAAGGAGCCTGTATCTTTGATAGTATGGAGATGCTTCAGTGCCTATATATATATACATACATACGTGTGTGTGTGTGTGTGTGTGTGTGTGTGTGTGTGTGTGTGTGTGTGTGTGTGTATATATATATGTGTGTGTGTTTTAGAGCAACATATGCCCACATCCAGACGACAACCTTTTCAGGGAAGGCCTTGCATATTTTGGCAATAAGTTGCTAAACTGAAGACTGTTTGTGGTAGAAGAGTTTTGGTGCTGAGCTGGCTGGTCTGCAGTCCAAACCTTTCGCCAGCTTAAAACAGTTGGTACATGAAACCGAAGATATGACAAAGAAGACCCAGGACTGAGTACATAGAATCCTACATCAGACACAAATGGGACAACATTCCCCCTACAAAAGTTCAGCAACTGGTCTCCTTAGTTCCCAAAAATCCATGTTCAGTGTTGTTAAAAGAAGAGGGGATGCTACACAATGGGGGGGGAAAATGCACCTGTTGAGACTGTCATTGCTGTCAAAATCAAGATGAACTAAATATGACAAATATATCATTTTCAGTCTCTCCTTTTGCCTTCAAAACTGCCTTAATTCGTTGTGGCACAGATTCAACAAGGTGCTAGAAACATTCCATAGATATTTTGGTCCATTTTGACATGATGGCATCACATAGTTGCTGCAGATTTGTCAGCTGTACGTCCATGATGTAAATCTCCCAGCTCTGGACAGCCCAAAGGTACTTCGTTGGATTGGGTTCTGACTGTGGAGACCATTTGAGTACCATGAACTACTTGCCATGGTCAAACCAGTTACTTTATTTGACATGCTGTGTGTTCTCACTGGATGCAGCCATCACTGTCTTCATAAAGCAATGGACTCAGGTAGGCTGTGAAAATCCCTGTAGATCAGTAGTTTCTCAAATACCCAGACCAGACCATCTGGCCCAAACAGCAATGCCAATTTCAATGTCAATTAAATAACCTTTCTTCTCCACTCTCTGATAGTCAGTTTGAACTTCAGTAGGTTGTCTTGACCATGTCCACATGCCTAAATACACTGGTGTCATGTGATTGACTGTTTACTTTAATAAACTGTTGAACACCAGCTATTTCGTTAGGTATATGTTCTACTGTAAATAAAATGTTTTTGAGCTGTGCCAATCATTGAATTTTGTTTTTTTTATTTACATTTTACTTAGTGTTCCAGCTTTTTAAAATTAAGGTTGTAAATTTGTTTATTTCTGTTTTGTAGGACCGAGGCCATGCCACAGATATCAGGAAAAGTTAAAATTAAAAGTAAAGAAATTATTAAATGACTTTTGGGCATCAAGTAAAAACCTGTTTGAAGAAAACAAGAAGCCAGATCTGTTGTACATTTCTCTTATATTAGACACACAGAGCAATGCTTCTCCAACTAAAATAAAGAAACTGAAGAAAAAGAAAAGCAAGCTGAGTCGCCCTAAAAAGCTAAGGACATACATCCCTGAAGAGAAACCAGACATTTCTCCCAGTGAGCTGCTGAAAACAGATAAAAACATACTCTTGGTTGGAAAACCTGGTATTGGAAAGACAGCACTGACTCATGAAATGCTGAGACTCTGGGCAGAAAGAGAAAGTGGTGAGCTTGATTACATGTTTTACTTTGACATGAGGGAAAAAGCACACATCATGAATGTTAAAAACTTGGAGGATCTGCTTTTCACTGTGTTCAGTGAACCAGATGAAGGCAAAGATGAGGTCTTACAGGACATAGAGAGACACTCTGAAAACGTTACAATCATTTTTGATGGACTCACAGATATCTCTTCATCAGTGGTGGAGAAACTTCTGAACAAAGACCTACTGCCGCTCGCAAAGATCATCATAACATGCAGACCAGATGATGAGGATGAAGACTTGTTTTCTGGGGACTTTGACAGAGTGGAGGTGAAAGGCTTTAGTGAGCAGACTATAAAAACATACTTATCTGCAACACTCGGTGAAGATCAGAAGAAAGTTTTGAGTAACTTGGAGTTGGTAACTCTTTGTCATGTCCCCATGTATGCACTGATGGTGGCTGCTTGCTTTTCATCAAAAGATGCTCCACAGCCATGTACAATAACTGAGATATACATCAATATTGTTCGATTCTGCCTTCAGATAAACAGCAAAAAAAAGAACAAAGATCTAAATTCCTTCATCAAAACCAAGAGAGAAGAAATTCTGTCTCTGGCTGAAGCTGCTTTTCTTGCAACTCAACAAAAAACTGTGAATCTGACAAACCTGACCTGTAAAGACATCTGTGTCCTGTCCTTCCTGAAACCACTTCTCATTAAGGAGGCCGTGACTGAAACAATAACCACACATGCATTCCTCCATTACACAGTGCAGGAGTTTTTTGCAGCACTGTGGCTCCTGAAGAATCCTGATAAAGTCAGAGATGTTTTTCAGCAGTGCCTCACAGAGGAGAAGAAACACATGAAACATCTGATCCCCTTCATGTGTCGATTGTTGAATGAGAAGAGCCCAAGTTTGATGAAGCATCTGATTCCAGATCAGGACCTGAAGAATACATCTAACTGGTTCTTCAAGGAGCTGATTAACACATTTCTTCCTCATCTGTGTGAGCAAGAAGAGGCTGATACTGAGGGCAGTGGGCTCCATGTCGACATACTGTTCTTATGCCAGTGCTTGTATGAGTCCCAGAGTCCTGAAGCATGCGTCTACCTTCTAGACAAACTGGACTACCATCTTGACCTCAGTGGAGACAGTCTGGATCCTTACCCTTGCTGTGCTGTGGCCTATGTGGTCACTCAGTCAAAGGAAAGGAAAATAAGGCTGAACCTCGAGGACGTGATCATATCAGAACAAGGAATGAGACAGCTGTTTGAATGCCTTGAAAATGTTGAGTGGTATGAATTTGGTTTTTTTTTTCTTTTTTTGGTTTCAACACACAGTGAGAATTTTAATGCTGGTTAGTTTCATAACGATCTCTTCTTTCAATTATAGGTATAACCTTCTGCCTCAACAGCTTTGGAAAGCTTTCCTTCTCAGCGAAGAGCAGATGGACTTCGTAACCTTACTTAGTCTTGATGGAAATCATTTACACCTTCCAACTCAAGGTGAAAAGCAGCTGTTTGAAAGAGCTGTGGAAGTCATGCAGTGGATGTCTACAAAGGTTAATGTCTGCCTCTACTGGAACAGAGAAACTCCTGCCTGCCAGAGTCTGTGTGAGTCTCTGTTAGAGGCTTTGCCATTCATCAGCTCACTCAGGTATGTAGCTTTGGCTCTTGCATATTAAATAGTCTGCTTGGTTTTATCCAGTCTTTTGATAGTAAAGTTAAAATACCTCTGTTTGTGACTTTTTTTTAACAACAATATATCAGAATTTAACATTTTAGCAGAACAGGTGAACAACTCATTTAAAGTTGAGTCCTTCTAGTGCTCAGTCTAAGGAGCCCGTCCATCTATCCAACCACTCATTCATCCTTCCATCCATTCTCCATTCCCGTAAGGAGTCTAATTAAATTAATAATTCCATGATTCAGAATCCGACAGGTCCCAGGCTGGTGTTTATCTTGTTGAATTTAAAATTCTGATGTCTGTTATTTTTATTATTCTCCTTTGGAATCACAGACATTGTGCACAACAAGTCTATATGTGTAGCACTAGCACGTAATGTATCAAGATTTGTGCTGAAGACTAAAGGTTTTACAGAATGTACAACAGAAATGTGTCTAATCAGTTCTGAAATTCTGCTATTCAGCTTCAGATGTCCAGTTTTTTGGAGCCATGAGAAATACCATGGGACACTGGAGAAGGAGCAGGAGAATCTGTTCATGGATTTATGCCTGAAAGCAGCACTTAATAACGGAGCAAAGTTTTACAACGTTGCGAAGAAGCTTCTTTCATTGTTTCTTGTTAAAACTGAGTTAGAAAACATCCTTCTTGATTTATATCAACATATTAAAAGCAGAGGATTTTCAGTTAACTTTGAAACACTGAGGCCGTGTTTTCAGTCCACTCCTGCAGTCTGGTCCATAAATCTCTCAGAGAGAAAGACCTCCAGCCTCCTGGAAGTGCTGAAACTCCAACCAGAGAAGAAACAAGTGAAGCTGACAGGCTGCTCACATGAAGAGAGTGAAGTGAGGAGTTTCCTGCAGTGTCTGCCTTATATCTCACAGCTCAGGTAAATGAATTGTACTTTACATGATTAACTCTACATAAAATCTCTCCAAATTATACTTTTTTGCAACCACTTTTTGATTTTCATAAGAACCACAACCTCTCCTACAGATTTTTAGTGAAAAGTAATTCATTTATCCTGAATATAACAGTTTGTCTTGAGCTTTTGCAATACAACTTACAAACAAACTTACAACATCATACAGTACAACAACCTGTGAAATGTGATGGATCATGAGAAAAATGAGCTCCTGACTAGGGATGGGTATCGAAACCCGGTTCTTGTTGAGAACCGGTTCCCACTGTTTCAATTCCTTGGAATTGTTTGCCATTTTTGCAAACGATTCCCTTATCGATTCCAGTCGCCCCGAATGACGTCATCACGTTGCGGAGCGTCATTTACCTGGCAGGAAACACGGCGTGTAAGCGGCTCAAACGCTCAAAAGTTTGGTTATACTTTACGAGAACGGATGACAACAGGGCAACTTGCAATACTTGCAAAGTAGATATTTAATTTAAGGGAGGAAACACTGCGAATATGCAAAAGCATTTGCTCACAAAACACGTGATAACCTTAAATGAATGTCGTGTTTTTAATTCCGCTCCGGACTTGTGAATCTCAACCCAGCAGCAGCGGTAACGTTTGCACGTCCTCTCCCGTTAATGCGGCAGGTAAATAATCAACTAACAGTGCATATTATGTTAGTGCGATCTGCCTTATTACAAAACCTGCCATTACTGAGCATTTAGGTGACCATGATGAGAGAGACAGAGTCTGGCTGGCTCAGATGCTGGCAGCTCTCGCTGCAGTCTACCGGTAGCATCTCCTTTCAGGCCAGGATAGACGAATGTCACCCAGCAGTGACTAAGTTTGTGGTAAAAGGCTTGAACGCATTTGCCACAGCAGATGCCCCCGATTTTCGGTAAGTGAATGCGTTTAATTGTAGGCAGGGACATTACTGGATATTCTTGTGTAATTGCTACAGAATAATTCATGTTATACTTTGTTACTGCTACAGAAGAATATTTATTTTATTATTTTACATTTACAATTTTTTTCCCCGGGGACCCTGTGACACCCCATTGAAGAGTCGTAGGCTGTGGATCTCTTAAGATCTCACTGTTGGGTTTGTAAGGCCATGTTACTCCTAAATTTCTATCTTGTTCAAAGAGAAGATATAAAACAAAGTTCTAAGCTAATCGACCTTAGTGTTCTCCTTTTTTAAAGAGAATCGATAAGAGAATCGATAAAGAATCGAATCGTTAAACAGAATCGAAAATGGAATCGGAATCGTGAAAATCTTATCAATACCCATCCCTACTCCTGACATTGTGTTTTACATCATCCACTTTTTTTAGAGGGTCAATTTTAAGCTAGCTGATGGACTGAAACTCAGTTTAAATCACTTACCCAGCTCAACGTTTTTTGAACTGCCTGAATGGCCATTTTAAGGAAACTAACAAAAGAAAAGTGACTAAAGGGAAAGCTATCCAGGGCTCAGCGCTGGCAACATGCAAACAGCCCTCATACGAACAAAGGATCAAAGTGATTATGACCAAAGTACTTATTGGTAAAATAATGGAGACAAGTGAAAAAAGACTAAAGGGTCAATGTCCTATTATGTGGCATGTCACACAGAGACTGAGTATGTCAGCATACTCTATCTGGTGGAGGGGTTGAACGTGAGCAATAGCTTCTCTTCCAGTTTGTTCCTCCTGAGAACTCTTGGGAAGTGAAGACACTGTTGGGATGTCTGTTCATTACAAGATGGAGTCTATCAGTAGTGTGTGGTTGGATTTATGAAGCTGAGATCAAATACTCACTAAATGTTTCCTTCTCATTGTTCCAGTGTTGACACTAGCTGTTCAGATAAAGAAACCAGGTTCTTTGGGAATCTGTTCTGTGCTGCAGCAGAGAGAGAACAGCAGACAGGAGAGGAGATACTGGAGCTGTTATCATCAGTGTGCATATATAAAACATTCCCTCTGAAATGGAAATGGTGTGATTTTCTCATGGACCTGTACTCTTATAAGACTAAAAAAGGCTTGAGTGTCCTTCCATCATTACAGTCAGTTTTCCAGTCAACTCCTGCCGTCTGGTCCATAAACCTCTCAGAGAGAAAGACCTCCATCCTCCTGGAAGTGCTGAAACTCCAACCAGAGAAGAAACAAGTGAAGCTGACAGGCTGCTCACATGAAGAGAGTGAAGTGAGGAGTTTACTCCAGTGTCTGCCTTATATCTCACAGCTCAGGTAAATGTACTGCACTAGCATGATTAACTCTACATAAAAGCTCTCCAAGTTATATTTTTTGCAACCACTATTTGATTTTCATAAGAACCATAGAATGCTTGTCAATACTTGCATTGGCTTGTACATATTATGAACTAATAACTGGACAAATGCAGTTTACCAAGTTGAGCTGATAAATAAAAATACCAAACAGAAGCGTTTTTGTGGAACCATCGCAAGCAATGCATGGGTGATAGTGTTGTGGGACTTTGATATTAATCGACTTTTGAAATATTCATAAATAAAAGGGCAAGCATGAGTCTTGATCGCTCATATGGCAGTGACGTGCAGCGGCATGTTCATCCTACTTATGGCGTGCAAAGTAGACTAAGTAGGTGACATAAAAGAAAAAAAAGAATTTGGGAGCAGCGTTTGAGATACTTTTTTACGTTATCATGGGGTCACAAGCCAGTAAAACACATAAGTTAACTTAAAGAAACAATTGTACGGTTATGCGGCCAGGTTTCAACAGTATTGGAAGGAGCTGGCAAAATGAGAAATTAATGTTATGGAAGATCTCTTTTTGTGCTGATACTTTTAAATATCTTAGATCATAATCCTGCCTACACCATTAAAATGGCTGCTCCAAAACAAGTCAAAAAATTTTGTTAAAGAAAATTAGAGAACTGGAGGCTATTGGAAGGCCTCAAACCAGATGGTGGACTCCTGAAGGGAGCCGTCAAGCTGAAGAAAGAGTCTTAACAAGCTTGGTCAGCCTGTGGGACTGCAGAGGCAACTGACAGCTACTACTGGATTATGACTTCAACAATAACTGAAGGAAAAACTTGTGGAATGAGTTCAATGACACCATGGAACAAGACTTTCGGTGGACATCATGCAGAGATCTGAGCCAGTGCCTCTTCACCTTGGTTTTAGGAAGAACAGTAGAGTTTTCATCCTGATTTTGGAACAATGGACCAACTCTTCATCCTCTTGAAGGGACGTGAGTTGGTTCAAGCAGTCCACATGTATTTGGTGGACTTAGTGAAGGCATTGAACTGTTCCTCTGGGATTCCTTTATTGGGTGCTTTAGCAGTACAGGTTATCAGGCCTGTTGTTATGAGCTTTTCAGTACCTGCACAACCACAGTAAGCGCTTGATTGCCAGCAAAACGTCAGAATCATTTCTACTGGGTGTTGGACTACTGGGTCGTCCACCTAGCCACCTACAAGGAGGCTAGGTGGAGGTCACTTACCTAGAAGTTGATCTTATTTCTGCGTTTTGCAGATGTTGTGGTTCTGTTGGCTTCATTAGATGGTTTGCAGTGGAGGGGTTTTAAGCCAAGTATAAAGTGGTGAGAATGAGAAGCATCCCGAAATTTGAGGCCATGGTTCTTGGTTGGAAAGGAGTGGAGCTTCCACTGTTGGTTAGAGACGTTTTGTTGCCCCAAATGGATTTCAAGTATCTTGGGGTCTTGATCATGAGTGAGGCGAGAGGGAAATTGACACCTCAGGTGACACATCAGACATATTGAGTGTAAAAGCAAAGCTGTCAATTTACTGGTCAATTTACAGCCCAACCCTCATCTATGGTCATGAACTCTGGGTAGAGACAGAAAAATTGACATCCAAAGGGTGGGTGTGTGAGGTCAGATATTTAGGAGGGAATCAGAGTAGAATCATTACACCTAGACAATAGTATAATATATCAGAGTGAGTTTTCAAAGTTTTGTAGTGCTCTCACATATGCTAAAATTGCCAAAGACTTTAAAATGCATCTCCATAAACTTTATATAGCCGCTTGAAGTTACTCATTGATTGCAGGCTCAAAATGTTTCTTCCTTTTTGTTCCAGTGTTATTCCGTGGAAGTTAGATGAAGAAATCAGGTTCTTTGGGAGTGTGTTCTGTGCAGCAGCAGAGAGAGAGCAGCAGACAGGAGAGAAGATACTGGAGCTGTTATCATCAGTGTGCAGATACAAAGGATTTCCTGTCAAACAGAAATTGTGTGATTTTCTTGTGGATCTGTACTCTTATGAGACCAAAACAGGATCGAGTATTCTTCATTCATTACAGTCAATTTTCCAGTCAGCTCCTGCAGTCTTTTCCATAAACCTCTCACAGAGAAAGACCTCCATCCTCCTGGAAGTGCTGAAACTCCAACCAGAGAAGAAACAGGTGAAGCTGATAGGCTGCTCACATGAAGAGAGTGAAGTGAGGAATTTCCTTGAATGTCTGCCTTATATCTCAAAACTCAGGTAAGCAAATTGTACTTTGCATCATTAATGCTACATCAGATGCTTTGAAAATGATTTATAGATGTATTTTAAGCCAAAAAGTTTGGTATTATTGTACGGTTTGAGTATTCATATAAATGCAGCACAAAAAGTAAGAAATTTTATCTTTGGTTGATTATTTATTTCTTTGCTTCTTAGCAATACATCTCATACTGTTGGAAAGCCTGTGTATTACAAGTAAGGAAAATGTTTTGTGGGTTGAACACTTGAGGGATCAGTTGGGCATGCTGTTCATGGCAGAGTCAACAACACAGCTACATTGGCTGACTTGCAAGAATGGGATGCCATCCCAAGGCAGTGTGTGACCAAGCTGGTGACCAGCCCAACCAGGAGGAGGTACCAGGCTTTTGTGGTTGTGTATGGTTCTGCCAGGTGCTACTGAGGCACCTGTTTATTAAATGAATCATTTGTTATATTGCAAATATGTCTTGTTTCTTCAGACTTCAATCCCCCAATTCAATAAATGACACCTTTCAAAAGTGAATAGCAGAATAGGCAGTTTGTGTCATGGTCCTGGGCCATGTTGGCCCAGTATTCTTAGTTTTCTTGTATGTTTGTATTTTGTTCCCTATTTAGGCCATGTTTCCTGAGTTGCCCTGTTGTGTTGTTCCCTAAGTGTTTTCCCTTCGTGGCTTTTACCCCCTGTGTGCCCCTCTGTGTATCTGTGAGCCCTCGTCTCTCCTTATGTTTTATTCCATGTTTCCCCAGCCCGTTATGTCTGTGTTTTCCCCGTGCTCTCTCTCCTCCTGTCTGAACCTCTGTACTTCCTGTTTGACTCTGCCTGTCTCCCGTCAGTGTTATGTTCACCCCGCCCTGTCTCGTTATGGTTATCTGTGTCAGCTGTGTTCCCCGTGTGTTCCCACTTTCCTCGTTAACCCTCTGTGTATTTCTGTCTGCGTCTCCCTCTGTTCGGCGTCGCGTTCTCCCTCATGCTGTGTGTGGTTCTCCCCGTGTCTTCTGGTATATGTTACAATTAGCTTTTCCCAGTGTAGTTTAGTTTTGTATTGCTTTGGTATCACTGCTTTCGTTTGTCACCTGTCAGCAATAAAGCTGCATTTTGAGTTTATCCCCTGAGTCCGTGAGTTTGCATTTTGGGTCCTCATCCTGCCTGCCACACAGCGACCATGACAGTTTAGTATTGGCAGAAAAGATTTGGCAAGTTTTGCTCACCCCACAAATGCAGTTTCCTTACAAATGTGGCCCCATTTGAGGGGAAACAAAGCATGTTTTCAACAGGACTTAATGCCAAAAAGCATTGTTACCGCAAAGAAATAATTGACTAAACGCAAATTTCTTCACTTTTTCTGTTAGTGTTTGTGTTGTGAGTCAGTAACAGTCTAACAACAATGTTCAGCTGCTCTGATGGAAGACGGCTTTAAAATGGACTTTCATTATTTACAGGACACACATGGACAAGATGGAGTCCATCAGTAATGTGTGGTTGTTTATGCAGCTCAGATGAAATCATCACTAAATCGTTCCTTCTTATTGTTCCAGTGTTGTTCCTTGGTGGTCAGATCTTTATGAAGGAACCAAAAGAACCTTGATTATTCTGTTCTGTGCAGCAGCAGAGAGAGAACAGCAGACAGGAGAAAAGATACTGGAGCTGTTATCATCAGTGTGCACATATCAAACATTCCCTTTTAATGACAGAGACATTTCTGATGAATATCAGTGTGACTTCTTGTTGGATCTGTACTCCCATATGAAGGCCTATGAGTCTAAAACAGGCTTGAGTGTCCTTCCATCATTACAGTCAGTTTTCCAGTCAGCTCCTGCAGTCTGGTCCATAAACCTCTCAGAGAGAAAGACCTCCATCCTCCTGGAAGTGCTGAAACTCCAACCAGAGAAGAAACAAGTGGAGCTGAGAGGCTGCTCACATGAAGAGAGTGAAGTGAGGAGTTTCCTTGAATGTCTGCCTTATATCTCACAGCTCAGGTAAATTAATTCTACTTTACATCATTAATCCCAAAAGCTGATTCTGTCTGTCTGGATGTAGCATTTTTTGTGGGCGAAATATTCCATCACTCATCCAAGTGACTTCTTCAGTCTTAGCTGACTGCAGCTGAATACAGTACATTGGCATAACGATTGAAACTAACAACCCTTGGTGAGTCCTTCCTCGACATTCAAGTGTGTGTATGAAAGCACTGGGCACAGGTACAAGACACTGTTTTGATGATTGTAGTGAGGCTCATTTAGTGAACAACGGGTAGCACCATTGGTCGCTCGTCCCTGCAGATTGCTTAACCAAGTGGCCCATCATTGTATTAATTTTTTGGTTGCTTGAACTGCTATTTTAATTACATCGTGGTAGTGAATAATAATAATCAAGCAACAATTAACTGAATGTTAATGTTCTTACCCTGCGGTTTAACTTCTACAGCACAAGTCTTGTAATTAATTTGCAACACCATTGCCTTGTCAATAATAAGCCTGTGTGCTTTTGATTGGTAATATAACTACCATTATTAAAAATTAAACAATGAAGCAACCACCAGGGAAAATAAACCTGGTCCACAAATACTAGTAAAGGAATCAACAAATGTGCTCTGAAAGCTAATCTACAGATATTATCTCCATTTTCCACATACCTGTGCCGGTCACTGCCATCTGCAACCAAGATGAGAGCAAAATGCTGTGAGAGACTGGACAGTGGGCTACAGGCGCACCTTATAATAAAGTTAGAGGAGATTCGGAGAAGTGACTGTATTTACAAGCACTACTCCAAAGTGAAATACTTACCACAAAGAATTTCTCCCTACAGTTATGAGTAAGGAATACAGTTAGAAATATGAACAAGATGGAGTCCATAAGTAGGTTGTATTTATGTAGCTAACATCAAATCATCACTAAGTGTTTCCTTCTTATTGTTCCAGTGTTCATCCTCCAGTAGAATTTTATAAAGAAATCAGGTTCTTTGTGAATCTGTTCTGTGCAGCAGCAGAGAGAGCGCAGCAGACAGGAGAGAAGATACTGGAGCTGTTATCATCAGTGTGCAGCTTTGAAACATTCCCTCTAAATAACAGAGACATGGGTGTTGAAGAAAATGAATATCAGTCTGACTTCCTGCTGGATCTGTACTCCCATGTGAAGGACTGTGAGACTAAAACAGGCTTGAGTGTCCTTCCATCATTACAGTCAGTTTTCCAGTCAGCTCCTGCAGTCTGGTTCATAAACCTCTCAGAGAGAAAGACCTCCATCCTCCTGGAAGTGCTGAAACTCCAACCAGAGAAGAAACAAGTGAAGCTGAGAGGCTGCTCACATGAAGAGAGTGAAGTGAGGAGTTTCCTGCAGTGTCTGCCTTACATCTCACACCTCAGGTAAATAAGTCATCATTTCTGTTACTATATACTGTATCTGTTCAGAAATGTATTGCTGGGATATTTTAAGCTAAACAAATCCAAAAATTATTTTTACAAAATCCAATAGTGATATATTTTTTCATCATTATTGAAACGATATTTGTGACTTCATTTATATGTTATCATATTTCAGTTTTATTTCAGTTCTTCCCTTATTTAAGAGGGAAACATTGCGCCCTGTAAACAACTGTGTTTATTAGACCTTTTCTTCAGCTGAAACATGTGCAAACATACATAGAAATACAGCATAGAGAGTAGAAACAGTTTGTAAAATTCTAACAACCTTTTTAACAAAGCCTGAACTCTTTGGCTACGTTCACACTGCAGGTGAAAGCACATCAAATCCAACTTTTTTGACCCTATGCGACCCATATGCGATCATGGTATGACAGTGTGAACAGCACAAATCCGATATTGTCAAATCCATCCTGGGTCACTTTCGTATGTGGTACTGAATCCGATACATATCTGATGTTTTAGAAAGCGACTGCTGTTTGAATGGTCATGTCGCATTAAATACGTCTTTTACGTCAGTGACACAAAACAGACGCCAATTATCAGCACCGGAGAAGACATCGTGAACGCTTCCTGGCCATCCCGTGTAGATGTTAGTGAAACTGTTAGGAAGACAACGTGAACATTTTATTTGTACTGTATAATCTGCAGATTCTGACAGAAATCAGCAACTATCCTTTGAAGCACCGCTCCTCTCTAAAACAGCAATAAGGATAATTATTAGGCCATATGTAAATAACAAAATAACTTTATAACTTAAAGCAAAATTGGGAAACATAAAGTCCGAAACAAGTCTTTATATTAAGGGCTATCAGTCAAACAATACTGTTTGCTCTGAGTCTAAACAGAGCGCGTTGTGTGTGACGTCGTCTTTTGCGCATGCGGGCCGCTTTGAGGGTTCACACTAGAGCACGTTTGCTGTCACATTTTATTTTTAGTGTGAACGAGCAGACAGAAAAATCAGATTTGATCAAAAAATCGGAATTGAGCATTAAGACCTGCAGTGTGAACGTAGCCTTAGTGTCAGGGCCAACAAGTGGGTGGATTCAGACGTAGAGTTGGAGGAGCTCAACAGTGTGTTTATTTACAGTGCCAAAAATATTTACAACAATCTCAACAATGTGCAGGGGGAAAAGGCATTCTGGGCAGGGGATCCAAAGTGTCCAAAGTGTAGAGTGCTCTCACTCTCTCACACTCAGGGTCAGGCTCGTGACACCACAGGAGAAATTCCAAAAAAACTGTGCATAGGGAAATAGACGGTCAAAATCTGCAACGGCACAGGCAGAGCGCAATGCAGTCAAGGCCAGGGTTACAACTAACTGTTTCAGTTTAACAATCCAGTGATTGAAAAAGGAAATTATAAGCCATCAATGAATGCACAAGTAAAATAGTAAACACCCCTTCCAACCTAATTCAGAAACTGAGTAGGAAGGTGAAGCTACTGTTGTGCAAGATATGAAATGTAGATGTTGTTGTTCCACTCATGTTCATCACAAACCACAAACAGCTACACTTCAGTGCGCAGTGATTGCACACACAGGATTAGTGTTTGTGTTAGAGCACTTCGCTCTCGCTCTGCAGGCCTACTTGTTGTTCCTAGAGTATTTAAAAGTAGAATGGGAGGCAGAGCCTTCAGTTTTCAGGCCCCTCTTCTGTGGAACCAGCTTCCAGTTTGGATTCAGGAGACAGACACTATCTCTACTTTTAAGATTAGGCTTAAAACTTTCCTTTTTGGTAAAGCATATAGTTAGGGCTGGACCAGGTGACCCTGAACCCTCCCTTAGTTATGCTGCAATAGATGTAGGCTGCCGGGGGATTCCCATGATGCACTGAGTTTTTCCTTTCTCACTCAGTATGTGTTAATAGACCTCTCTGCATTGAATCATATCTGTTATTAATCTCTGTCTCTCTTCCACAGCATGTCTTTATCCTGTCTTCCTTCTCTCACCCCTCCCTGAGCCTGGTTCTGCCGGAGGTTTCTTCCTGTTAAAAGGGAGTTTTTCCTTCCCACTGTCGCCAAACTGTTTGCTCATAGGGGGTCATATGATTGTTGGGTTTTTCTCTGTATCTGTTATTATACGATCTACTGTACAATATAAACGCTCTGAAGCGACTGTTGTTGTGATTTGGCGCTATATAAATAAAACTGAATTGAATTGAATTGTGAGTCAGTAACAGTCTAAATACTATGCTCAGCTGCTCTGATGGAAGACGGTTTTAAATGGACTTTCATTATATACAGGACACACATGGACAAGATGGAGTCCGTCAGTAGTGTGTGGTTGTGTTTATGCAGCTCAGATCAAATCTCCACTAAATGTTTGTCTTTTGATGTTTCAGTGTTGATCCTGAGAATTCAGATTTTTGTGAAGAAGCTAAGTTCTTTGGGAATCTGTTCTGTGCAGCAGCAGAGAGAGAACAGCAGACAGCAGAGGAGATACTGGAGCTGTTATCATCAGTGTGCACATATGAAAGATTCCCTCTTAAAGAGAAATGGTGTGATTTTCTTATGGACCTGTGCTCCTATGAGACCAAAACAGGCGTGAGCATCTTACCATCATTACAGTCAGTTTTCCAGTCAGCTCCTGCAGTCTGGTCCATAAACCTCTCAGAGAGAAAGACCTCCATCCTCCTGGAAGTGCTGAAACTCCAACCAGAGAAGAAACAAGTGGAGCTGACAGGCTGCTCACATGAAGAGAGTGAAGTGAGGAGTTTCCTTCAGTGTCTGCCTTATATCTCACAGCTCAGGTAAATTAATTCTACTTTACATGTTGAATTCTGCATCAGGAGAGCTGCTCTGAGGGAACCACAAAAACTGGCAATTATGGAATGGAAACAGTTTGGGAGCACAAAGCTATTTTTTTAAATACCCAAACATTCTGGCTTGATAACACCTAGTTCAAAATAAAACATTTATTTTGATTAATGGCAGTTCCTTTCCCCAGATAGATTAGATTCATATAGAATCACTCTATGCTGAGAAAACATTCTTAAATCATTGTGTAATTTCCATTTCTGCAAGAAGGCAGTCTTGCAGTCGAAATGCTCATGTTTGGAAAACATATGCTCAGCTTTGGGGTCAGCTGGCTTGGGTGGCTTAGGAGACTCAGACTCAGGGGTTCAGGCCCATGATAAACAGTTTCTATGGAGCCAGCTTAGATTTAGACATAGAAACAACAGCCTGGACAAGGCTGGGCCTGGCTGCAACAGTGACCTTAGGTGAGGAATGTGACAATGCCATTTCCTCTCAGAAGTGGCAGCTGTGACCAATGGGTAGAGAGTAGTGTCCAAGGTAGTTGTAGTCCCTCATCTACTCTTGCCAAAGGTAAATAAATCAGAACTTTTCTGAAGCCTCCTCCCAAATTGTCAACGTTGCTTCCGTATGTTCAGGGCTCCAAGTGCGGCTTGCCCATAAGTGGTTGCTGGGTGCATTACTAGCCAGAGTGTACTATAGTGTTTTGCAGTATAATCACCCAAATGCAGATTGGAAGACGGGCAAAAGTGAAATGAAATGCACCTGTAATAACTGTTGATATGAAGCCCACAGTAGAATGTCCATAAGAAGAAAAGACAAACTAAAGCCAACAAATAAACATGCTTTAACCAAAGACAACGTGGGAAATACAGTTATGTCCAAATATATTTGGACACTGACACAATTTTTTTTACATGTTTACTGAAACATATCCCAATTATAGTTATATAATGGACATGGACATAATGTGTAAACTCTCAGTTTTCATTTAAGGACATCCACATTCAAACTGGATGAAGGGTTTAGGCGTTTCAGCTCTTTAACATGTGCCACCCTCTGTTTATAGGGACCAAGAGTAATTGGACAATTGATTCCAAGGTTAATTCATGGGCAGGTTTCTTTGTTATGTAATTATGAATTAAGAAGATAAAAGTCCCGGAGCTGATTTGAGGTGCTTGCATGTGAAAGATTTGGCTCTCAGTAGATTGCCTGCAGTCAAATGAGCTCTCCATGCAGGTGAAACAAGCCATCCTTAATCTGTGACTACAGAAAAAATACATCTGAGAAATTGTTACAATATTAGGAGTGGTGAAACCTACGGTTTGGTACATCCTGAAAAAAAAGAAAGCACTGTTGAACTCAGCAAAAAGACCTGGACTTTCACGGACGACAATAGTGGTCGTTGATCGCAGAATCATTTCTGTGGTGAAGAGAAAGCTGAAACCAACATAATGGAGAATATTTTTAATTAGGCTGTGCCTCAAACATTTTAAATACAGTAGTTATAAAAGCAGCAAAGTTCTGTGATATTTTGGTTGATGGTTCCATAATTATTTCTGCAACATTAAGTAATAATTTTTTCCATAAAACCATTGTACTAGTTTAAATTTTAATATTTACTTATCATCATTATTATATTTATACCATGACTTTATCTACGCAAGATGCTTTACCAAGAGGGATTCAAATGTAAAACTACAGTATTTTTATGTATTTATATTTAATTAAATATAAGAGTTAAAGTCCCCAGTATGATAATAGTCACAAGATAGAGGGCACACCAAATGTATAATTTAAAGAGCTGGGTACTCTGTATGCAGCATACACATAAATGACAATCATGACCCAGTTTTCAACCCTAATGGTGCAAGAAAGCAGCAGTCTCATCCATGAGGAAAAACTCTACTAATATACAATCACTGAACTGTGGGGATACCTTCACTACATTCAAAATGTACCATGTCTTTTCATGAAATACTATCAATACTCTTTTTTTTCCCCTTTTTCTTGTTCCAGTTTTTTTACTTTATGGGCAGATGAAGGAGGAAGGTTTTTTGGGAATCTGTTCTGTGCAGCAGCAGAGAGAGAACAGCAGACAGGAGAGAAGATACTGGAGCTGTTATCATCAGTGTGCGCATATCAAACATTCCCTGTTAATGACACACATACAGATCTTCAATATCAGTGTGATTTCCTGCTGGATCTGTGCTCCCATGTGAAGGACTGTGAGACTAAAACAGGCTTGAGTGTCCTTCCATCATTACAGTCAGTTTTCCAGTCAGCTCCTGCAGTCTGGTTCATAAACCTCTCAATAAGAAAGACCTCCATCCTCCTGGAAGTGCTGAAACTCCAACTAGAGAAGAAACAAGTGAAACTGACAGGCTGCTCACATGAAGAGAGTGAAGTGAGGAGTTTCCTTGAATGTCTGCCTTACATCTCACAGCTCAGGTAAATGAACTGTATTTTAAATGGTTAACTCTATGGTTTTGTGAAAGACTGGGATCAATCCCTCATTTCTTTATATTTTTCCAGACTTTCCTGGTTTCCTGGCTGATTTGTTTTAGGATACCATATATATGTCTTTCACTTTAATTTTAATAATATTATTTATGTCTGTGTCCATGGCCTTTGTATTGTTAGTCCAGTCCAGTTTATTGGCCCAGATGCTTCTCTAGGCAATTCCACTGGCACCGATCGACAAAGTCCTCGGTCAGTTTTCTGTCTTTGTTGGCCCGATTGATGATGAGGCCAACAACTGCTGAGTCATCAGAGAACTTTTGACGGAAGCAGTTAGCAGACAGTTAGCATCACTAAGTGTTTCCCTCTCATTGTTCCAGTGTTGCTTCTCGGAGGCAAGATGAAGAAGTTGCAACCTTTGTGAATCTGTTCTGTGCAGCAGCAGAGAGAGAACAGCAGACAGGAGAGAAGATACTGGACCTGTTATCATCAGTGTGCAGATATGAACGATTGCCCCTTAAAGAGAATTGGTGTGACTTCCTCATGGACCTGTACTCTTATGAGACTAAAACAGGCTTGAGTGTCCTTCCATCATTACAGTCAGTTTTCCAGTCAGCTCCTGCAGTCTGGTCCATAAAGCTCTCAGAGAGAAAGACCTCCATCCTCCTGAAAGTGCTGAAACTCCAACCAGAGAAGAAACAGGTGGAGCTGACAGGCTGCTCACATGAAGAGAGTGAAGTGAGGAGTTTCCTGCAGTGTCTGCCTTACATCTCACACCTCAGGTAAGTTAAACTAATGCTTAGTTACCAGGTGACTTTGAAAGCAATTTTTAATTTACAGTCTAATAATGTATTTAGGCATTTTTTTTGTTAATCTAATCTGAAGTCATCATAGCTAATAACACACATGTAATTAGACCCTTGTCCTTCTATTTTATCTGCCTTGGTTAATATTTAATCATAAAGTTCTTCACTCTTTTTCTACTTTACATGATTAGCTTTATATAAGAACAGATAGATTATGGGTAAAAAGATATAACAACAACATTTTGAGACCTGTAAATCTAAATATTATTTAACTGTAGCCTGGCTAAATCAACCAGCCCAAAACACAGATTATCTTTGGGGTTCTTTTAATCTGAATTATAAAGTAAGCGTCCAGATGAAAGGTTGTAAAAACAAGGAAATAAAATTGCTACACACAGTTCTCCTCAAGTAACAGCTGTGTGCACTGGTAACCCACTGCTACTGCAGGTAGTTGTTCCAACTTTTCAGAGTCTGGAACTCAAAGATGTCTAATGTCAATGTGTGACTGATATAAACCCGTCCAGAAACAAAACAAACTTAGCAGTGCAAAAATGACTCTAGTGGCTTCTCCTGCTAAATTACAGAGACCAAATTAAACAGTTAACCACAGTACATTTTCCCTCTTACAAATGAAACATTACAATACAGATGTGAACTCAAATACATACAGTGCATTAATCCAGCAGAAAAACGGAGTACAGCTCCCCCTGAGATGATTAGTGAAGTCAAACACAGCAACACCTGGTGCCTTAACTATTCCACCCTTTGCGCTTAAACAGACCATGCAGTGAAAACACAGCGTTGAACACCCATGTTACACCAATACAAGCTAGCACTTCTGTGAATGTCTCCGTAGATCCCCATCATCCCTTGCGCTCCCAGGGGTACCCCAAAAGAAACAGAGCCAGCCAGTGGCATGTCCCATAACACTGACCTTCCACCTGGCTACATTACTCTTTTAAATAATTATATATTTCACTGTCACCAATATTATATTTACCCACTGTGATTTCATCCACACAGGATTATATGTCAGTTAAATGTCAACTTTACTCCATTTCATACGGAAACATGTTCACCGCTGTGTTGGACTTTGTCAGTTGTGTGTTGCTTTGAAGTCTAATGCTGTATTTTACATACATGCATGAGTTCATGAAACTGAGCTGTTATTATGGATTAAAGAACAACAACCAAATTACATACTGTTCTTTTCAGAGTGCTGATTTTGGTTGTTATTTTTTAGGTATAATGACTTTACAATCTCATTTATTTAATAAAAAGTAAACTCACAGAGCACTGATTTAACGACAATAATTCAGTCTTTATAAAATTCACAAAGAAAGGAAAATACTCCATAAAAAAACAGAATAAGTTCAAACTGGTATTTGTTATATGATATGTTTTGCATTCTCCACTGCAACCACTGAACATCCAAGGTATGGACATTGAGGCTGTGGACAGCTACAGGTACCTTGGTGTTCATCTGAACAATAGACTGGACTGGACTCATAACTCAGACGCCCTCTACAGGAAAGGGCAGAGCAGGCTGTACCTGCTGCGGAGACTCAGGTCGTTTGGAGTGGAGGGCCCACTCCTGAAGAAATTCTATGACTCTGTTGTGGCTTCTGCTATCTTTTATGGTGTGGTCTGCTGGGACGGCAGCATCTCTGCTGGGGACAGGAAGAGACTGAACAGGGTGATCCGAAGGGCCAGCTCTGTTCTAGGATGCCCTCTGGACCCAGTGGAGGTGGTGAGTGACAGGAGAACGGCGGCTAAGCTGTCATCCCTGATGGACAACATCTCCCACCCCATGCAGCAGACTGTGACAGCACTGAGCAGCTCCTTCAGTGGGAGACTGCGGCACCCACGGTGTGGGACGGAGAGATTTCGCAGGTCTTTCCTCCCCACTGCTGTCAGACTCCATAATAAAGACTTTAACTGATCAAGCACACACATCCATACATATGCAATGATACTAAGTGCAATAATCCTTTCTGTCATCGTTGTATTTTTACTCAGTTGTATATAGTATTTGTATTTGTATTCTATTTTTATCTTATTGTATATTTATTTTATTTTATTCTACTGTATATAGTATTTTATTTTATTCTATTCTGTACAGTTGTGTACTGTATTTATTCTTATTGTATTCTAATTTTTGCCTCATAACTTTTGCACTGTCCACTTCCTGCTGTGACAAAACAAATTTCCCACGTGTGGGACTAATAAAGGTTATCTTATCTTATCTTATGTTATCTTATTGGCTTTTCATTGCTGTTCAGATGACCTGCATATGTGTAAATATTTCTTCTTGTTGTTCCAGTGCTGATCCTGAGACGTCAGATGAAGAAGCAGTCAGGTTCTTTGTGAATCTGTTCTGTGCAGCAGCAGAGAGAGCGCAGCAGACAGGAGAGAAGATACTGGAGCTGTTATCATCAGTGTGCAGATATCAAACATTCCCGTTTAATGAGAGATACATGGATGATGACTATCAGTGTGATTTCCTGCTAAATCTGTACACCAATGTGAAGGACTATGAGACTAAAACAGGCTTGAGTGTCCTTCCATCATTACAGTCAGTTTTCCAGTCAGCTCCTGCAGTCTGGTCCATAAACCTCTCAGAGAGAAAGACCTCCATCCTCCTGGAAGTGCTGAAACTCCAACCAGAGAAGAAACAAGTGGAGCTGACAGGCTGCTCACATGAAGAGAGTGAAGTGAGGAGTTTCCTGCAGTGTCTGCCTTATATCTCACAGCTCAGGTAAGTGAAACTAATGTTCTGGAAACAGCTTCACAGGAAGTGAAATTATAACTCTCTCGTGTTCTTATAAAAACCATTTATCTGCTGTCCACTTTGAATCTTTAGTTCTTGGTGTTCATCATTTCTGCTCTTTTGTCTCTTTGATCTTCAGGCTTTCCATCGACATGTCCTTGCTCCTGTTTCAGTGGGTAAGAAGAGGCAGAGTGGTCTGTCCGCTGGCTGTGGAAGAGCTTTCTCTTGTGCCTAAGAAAGCTCGACCATCACAGAGAGTGATGTTGAGGGCTGTCAGTAGTTTGGCTTCCCTGCTGAGACACTGGACAGTCGAACGGTTGGACCTGACTGAGAGCTGCATCCCTGCTCAGGGTCTGATTACTCTGCTGCTCCATGATGGTCCTCTAACAGTCAAGTAAATGTCTTTCCTGAACATCACAGGCCAAATAAAATGTAGTTTTTAAAAACAGATTAACTTGTTTTTCTCTCTCTTTATTTTTTGCAGACTGAGTGAAGAGAGCTTCCAGCAGCTTCTGTGTCTCCTCCATGAAATCCAGGACAAGGACTTGACGCTGTCCTTCTTGAGTAAGGTTGGTGGAGACCTGACCTCCTGCTGTCTGAACTGGGAGCTTCTTCACTATATGCTGCAGCAGGCGTCAGCTCAGACCATCACTGTGAACCTGAGGAAGAACCTCTTCTTACAGGAGGAAACCACACGTCTGCTTCCCTTTCTGGACAGGATTGTGTTTAAAAGGTGCTGAATGTAGTTTGATCTTTTACCAAACACAGTTTCTGCTGTTTAATCAGGAGGATTTGAAATGCTGTCTCATCTTTAATCAGCAGTTTATGGATCCTTTAAACAAAGTTGGAAATAAACTGTTTATTTTCAGGCCCAGTCCCAGCTTTGTGATGAGCTCCATCAGAGAGCTCTACAGAGCTCATGACAGTCACGCTGTGCCCAGTTTACTGAGGTCACTTGGTCATGCGATCAACCTGAGCTGCAGAGAGCTGGACTCAGTGGACTGTGCTGCTCTGATCTTCATCCTCAAACACGGAGACGGAGTCAAACTGAACCTCCTGTGGACCTCCATACCAGCAGAGGGAGCAGAGTCCATCCTCTTCATGCTGGACAACGTTTCTCATCTCAGGTCAGATATTAGAGCTTGTTTCTCAGTGCTGTCCAACACAGTCATCAGCTGGTTCATTTCTGTATGTGTTTTCCTTGCAGTGTTGACAGGAATCAGCTGCTGAGGTTCATCCACTGCTGTGCTGCCTGTGACGTCCAGCAGGAGGCAGCGTCAGGCCTGCTGAGGACTCTGCAGCACAGCTTGGATCTGTCCTGCTCCTCCTGTGTGGAGCTACTAGAGGAGGATCAGCCTGAGCCTCTGAGTCTGACTGCTGATGACTGCAGGGCCATCTCCACCATCCTGACACACAGCAGCCGGGACACACAGCTCGACCTGCGAGACTGTGAGGTGGAGGACAGCGTGCTGGACCTGCTGTTTCCTGTTCTCCACAGGGTCCACCTCAGGTGGGAAAGACCACAGAAGAGTCTAAACCAGTGAGAAGCTCGTTCACACTGGTGTTGATGCATCCTGACAGTTTCTCTTTGCTCTGTTTGTCCTGTTTAGAGTCAGTAAAACTGTCCTCCTCCAGCTGCTGTCTCTGGTTCCTGTGAACAGTGAGAGGGACACAGTGAGGCGGGTGGTGTCCCTGTGTAGAGCCCTGGGTGGAGAGCTGGATCTCAGTCACAGCACGCTGGATCAGAGGGCCTGTGGGGCTTTGGTCCAGATGCTGGACTCGTGTGAAGGGCTGACAGAGCTGGACCTCAGTCACTGTCAGCTCACTGACCAGCTGCTGCTCCCTCTCATCACACATCTGCACAAAGTCCAAGTCCTGGAGTGAGTGTCACACACTGATCCTTCTCTGGGAGGCACCAATAACCATCAGCCTGTTCACACACACTACAATAATATGATGTGCAGTGATCACTTAGAGCCTCTTGTTGTGTTTGTGTTACAGTCTGAGTCACAATCAGATCACTGATGCTTCGACTGATGTGTTACTGCAGCTGCTCTCCATCAACCCCTCCATCGACTGTGTGCGGTGAGCCAACATGAATCAGTCTCCATCAGTGAAGGAGTTTCTCCTCAGACTCTCAGAGGAATCATTCACAGTCTGAGCTCACATGGATTCATGTTGTTCTGAGTGAATGAGTGACGTCTGCTCTCTCTGCTTTGGTCTCTTTCTAGACTCTACAGCAACAACATCGTGCACAAAGCAGCCTTCAAGGAACACAAGCAGTGTGAGATCTGGTGAAGCACTCGTCACCATCATCATCATCATCATGATGAACATCATCATTATCTGGGATTCACTGGTTTCCTCTGTTCTTGTCGTCATTACATGAAAATATTGGGTGGAGTGGGAGCACTGATACTGTGTTCATGGACTCAGTGTAATGTTGTAGTGTACGACACATTGACATTAGATCAGATGGGTTTTGAAGACCATCTTGATTTTTTTTCTTTTTTCTACAATGACTTGAAGACAGTTTATATGGAGACAACGAGCAGCCAACAGTGTTTGTTTCAATTACTCACTGTTGCTTTTGTTTCTGAGCTACTGCAGATTTTTCTTTGATGAAGGTCAGATGTCTAACTGGTCATGTGATGATGTAACAGTCCTGGGTCTTGGACCCACAATTTTGAGTTTTGCATTCTCGGTCTAATCTTTTGGATTTCAAGTCTTTATTTCCCCATGCAGTTACTTCCTGTTTTATTTTGATAGTCATTTGTCTGTGTTCCTTTTGTTTGCTTGTCCTGATTGGTTTCAGCTGTGTCTCATTCCCTTAATCTGCCCACTTTTCTATTTACCTGTTAAACCTGAGAGTCCTGCATACTGGCCTTGCTGAAACTTGCCAGATGATCATCTTGATGTTTACACATCTGATATTTCTGTAATAATTGTGATTCTGTTATTTTATTATTGAGACAAAACACAGAAGCCATCACCATTTATCAGTGCAGTGAGTCGGTCATATTTATTATTTGTACTTTTGTGATAATGGTATTTATTCTGGTCTACATGCTTCAACAGGACAAAGTAGAGAGACTCTATAATGATGTCTCAGATTAACGATGCAATAAGTGAGCAATCAGGATAAAACCGTGTTTGGTACTTTAACATAACTGGAAGAAATGATCATAAACATGTAAATCATTTTTAGTTTGTATTTCATGTTAAGAGATACATGTGATAATGATCATTTTCTGTCCTCTTTCTGTCTCATTTATAATGGGGGGTGGCTGTAGCTCGGGGTAGAGCAGGTCAACTACTAATATAAAGGTTGCTGGTTTGATCCCTGGCTGCTCCAGCCTGCATGTCAGATGTCCTCAGGCAAAATGCTAACCCCAAGTTAAGCACAGAGAAAGTGCCTGTATGAATGTGTGGATGAGGCATGTTGTGTAAAGTGCTTTGAGTGCTCCAGGGGCCCGTTCTTCGTACCTCGCTAAGTAAGTTAGCTGGATTTGATTGTTGACGATTTCGCGTGATCCTGGATCGTTCGGTTCTCCGAAGCTCATCCGGGACTTGCTGTCATAGCAACAGAGCCGTAAGCGTAAACCTGCTCGGGAGCAGGTTTACTTTATGTAAACAGGATTAGATCGCGGCCACTCAGGTATGTCCGCTTCATTTATACGAAAGCAACAGCGATATTTTACCACTGTTTCACCATAAATAAATAACATCAATGTAACTAAAGATAATGCAGTATTTGATTCTTTTATTGATTTCACACAGATACATACAGGTCATTTCCTAAAAAAAGGGAAATGTACTATTAACATTCTATTACATGTATGTGATTATTACAGATGTAATTCATATTTCAGAGTAGTAATAGTAAATTACTTCGTGTAATCAAGATGAGACCACGGCTATAAAAGCGAAGGTGGATTTGGGAAGTCTGTCGCAGCCATGTCCTGTCCGTTTACGCGACCAACCCATTGCGGAAGGTGCAAGATTGATAAGGAGAGTCCTCAGAATCCAGCGTATATTGCGGGATAGACAGGATCCTTTAGCTCAGCACGACAGTGTGCTCATTGAGAGATATCGATTTTCCCGTGAGGGTATTATTCACTTAACCAACTTGTTGACGAGGGGGTGCAGGACCACCACCTGTCTTTTTTTTTGCTCTGCCCTTTTCTTGGTTGCTGTTATAAACAAACAAACAGATTATTTCAGGGTCTCTGTCCAAGAGACTAAAAGCAATATAAGTGATAAATATTACCATTCTGTAGAATATTCTTATATTTCACTTTTACTTGTTCCCATGTTCTAGTGGGTCCTGTTGTGGCTCTAATGTGAAAGAGGATATAATGTAATATAATATAATATAATATAATATAATATAATATAATATAGTGTAATATAATAAATCACCCTACCGCCTACTGGTGTTGGCCAGAGGGGCCGATGGCGCGATATGGCAGCCTCGCCTCTGTCAGTCTGCCCCAGGGCAGCTGTGGCTACAACCGTAGCTGCCTCCACCAGTGTGTGAATGTGAGAGTGACTGAATAGTGGCCTTGAAAAGCGCTATACAAATCCAATCCATTATTATTATTATTATTATTATTATTATTATTATTATTAAATTACTTACGAGTTTGATTTGTCAGCAACTTTCTGCCGGCCCTCTCTCCTTGCTTTTGCAGCCTTTGCAGTGTTCCCTTGCGTTTTAATTAAACTCTGAAACTCCTGAAATCCCTCACTCAAGAGTTCTTGCTCTGCTGCCGAAAAATACCGAGCGCGCTCCTTCGACATTTTCGCCGACCAATCAGAGGGTTGCCGATCAATGTTTCTACTATCGATGCGTAGCCCCTGTTAAGCCACCCAGTGATCTCACATTACTTCATCCAGCTATACTAGAGGTGGGAATCACCATACATCCCACGATACGATATTATCACAATACTTAACGCACGATACGATATTATTGCAATTTTTTAAAAATATTTTGCGATATTCAGATTCTGTACATAAAGGTAAACTTTATCAATATTCATTTTATCTAATATCAAAGTCTCACACTCAGTCTCTCATTTCAGTCAGTTTTATTGTTGACAAACTGAACGGTTTGTATTACAGTCTAGTCCAACTTAACTGAATGCAACCATCTGGTACAATTATATTGTATATTGTATATTATATTATATTACAATTAAATTAAAATAAGTAAACTGTCATGTTTATTCCTGCCAAAAAACAGTTAAACACATTTGGACAGTGAAGGAATATCAGGATTCTTGCTCAGAAAAAGGATCAACATGCTCTGAAGTCAGAGTTCCAGTCCACAAAAACCTTTTTTGTAACAAAATATCGATTTCTGCTGTCCCTGTATCGATACATTATTAGCAAACAAAATATCACGATACTACACAGTATCGATTTTTTCCCCCACCCCTAAGATATACTAATTGTCAACAGCAGGTGTGTTCGGAGAACCGGAATAGTGAGCTCAAAGTTGGCGCGATGATTTGACCTTGGATGTGTCATTTGATCTTGGATGTAGTAAGCGATGTACGAAGAACGGCCCCAGGAGTATACAAAAACACTGTGCAAGAATTTATCCTTTAATGTATTTCAGGTTTTTAAATGTAACTTTTTTTTACCATATTAATGTAGAGCTTCATATAGACTGGGGGAATAAATAATAAAAGTTTGGATGTCTGTAATCGACGTGATTCTGTTTCAGTGATTGTAGTTATAGAAAGTCAGTCATTATACAGTATCTGTAATTCAGGAAATTTGTACAGAAACAAAATGCCAGCTTGAGAGGGATGGGGAGATTGTATCATTCAGGAAATACTTAACGAGTATGTCAGTCTCATTTAGATAAAAGATCCAGCAGACTCGGATGTGTCAGTACAGCTGGCACAGTCGCACAGAGGAACCAGGATCACACCACATCATTTTCTCTTTGACAGTGTAACATCAGAGCATTAAGCTTTTGGATTGTTTGACCACACATACCAAAGGGCACCAACAGGAAAGACCCTAATTTACCTTTAAGCCCCCTGTACAGGTAGAATTTTTCACTTTTACTGTTACTTTAGTCTTCTTGCTATACTTTAAATAACTTTTCAGTTCTATATTTTTTAGAACCTTTGTTTACAATCATTTATTTGCATTACACTGATGCCATGTAACCAACACAGCATATTGCATGTCAGGCTGAAAGGTTAACATTCTGGAAAATTATTCAAAGACCTGAAGTGAAACAAACCTGATTTCATGGCAGAATCATAACTAATGCTCTTTGTAAGCTGATTTCAGCCCCTAAACAGTGGCCGAAGGAAAGAATCTGCAGAATAATGTGGACACATGTTAGAAGTTTCCTGTCGAGTGTACAAACACTAACACCTCACCCACACAGTAAAGTGTGTAGCTAGAAAGAGTGATATTAGTCTATATCCCTGTCTCAGACTTAAAAACACTGTGACGTTTTGCTGGCCTTTACTGCCACGTTCTACTTAAGTAAACACAGAATCTCACATTTTCTCCCTTTCCCTCAAACACACATTTTAAGTGCAAAAATAATTTATGGCAATAATCAGTAATATAAATAGCATCATTGCAGCCCTTGGTGAGCACCGTGGACAGCAACCACAGTCAGTTTATACTATAACCTCACATTATCTTCTTCAACCAGACTATCACAAGGCAGAAACAGATCCAGGCATGCTAGGATAACACAAAGACAACTTTATTGTCATTAAGTCCATTAACCACAGGTCCTCAAAGCCTCACTGGATGTACCAACAACCAAACTCTTTTATAGAGATCCTCATTCAGCAATCGTTTCTAATGGATGTGCTTCTAGATCTATCACACACACATTACATTATGAGCACATATTTTCCAGATTTAGGTGGTAACAATATTTCAGTCCATAACAAAATCACAAACCCTTCAACCATCAGAACTTTGTCCTTGTGCTACTGTCAGGTTTCCTGGGTCCAGCGTTTTCAGTTTTCTCATGTTCAATTTATTTCCCACATTCAGTTTTCTCGTTTTCTGTGCCAGCGTACCGCCTGTGTATTGTGTTCCAGTTATTTCCATGTATCATTAGTCAGACTAAGTTCAGCTGCGTACTCACCGGTTTCTAAACATTCATCACCCAGCCTGTATTTAAGTCCTCAGTTCCATCCGTTCATCTTCGCGTCATTGATGTTGATGTTGTCCTTCCCGTCTACATTCCGTTGTTCAGCCAGCCGTTCAGTCAGTCCTGCCGTCCCTGCTCTGTTCACTCACTCGCTCTAATAAATCATCATCATTCTGCACCGTGAGTCCTGCGTTTGGTTCGTCTCTTCCTCGCCTCCGTACACGACAACCCCTGACAGAATGACACGACCCGTGCCACGAAGACACGTGTATGACCCAGCAGACTCGGACCTATTCGAGCGGCAGGACGCAGCCCTCTCCATTTGGGCGGAGAAGCTCAGGTGGAAACAGCGGCTCTGCTCAGAGAGGGAGCACGTCTTTGAGGGGACTCGTCTGGCTCTGGGCGGGCCTCGGAGACCCCGCGGTCCTCCACCTGCTGCCTCACCTACATCGGAGCATTCGCCGCGGAGAGTGGGCGTCAAAGGGCAAGCTTCGCCCGCTCGCTCTCCCGCCGCCCCGCTCCTCGCTCGCAAGCCAGCTGTTTTATTCTCCGGCTCTTCCACTTCACTGTGATATCCTAAGACCAAGGAACCACGGAGACCATGTTTAGCTCACAGTTGCTTCTTTATTAAGAGAACCGGGGCTTGCACCCCCACAGACTGAAAGCTCCCCAACCACTGTTGCCCCCTGGTGGACAAATCCCTGCCACAACATAACATTCCTCCCCCCTTAAACTGGAACTACTCTGTAGTTTTAATCACTACAGAAAATACCCATAACCAAAACTTCACCTTTATAAAAAAAAATGCAACAACCCCGTCCCCAGCCTTTATTGAAATTTCACTCCGGAATAGTGAACCTTTAGTCCAACAGTCTTAGGTTAACCTATAACAGTTCACCGTAATCACGGCACAAAGTCTCTCAGGTGCTCCGGCTTTCTCTTGGTCCTTTGCGATCGCCGTAACCCCGTCGCAGGTGATTCCAGCGAATCACTACTCTCCATATGTGGCTTCACCACTGGTGTAACTTGCACCTCTATGTGTCTCTCATCCTCGTCTCCTGTCTCAGCGCTGATGTTTGGGGCTGCCTTTGGGGCTCCCCCGGGTGGCCTTCAGGCATTCCTGCTGCCAGGCACGGCTCCAGGCGGGCAAACAGCTGATCGACATGACGCCTCACCACTGTCCCATTGCCCAGCATCACCAAGTAGGAAACAGGCCCCGTCATCTCCTGTATAAGTCCTGGTATCCATTTGGGTCCTCTGCCATAGTTTCTGGTATATACTGTGTCTCCAATAACAAACATGCGCTCCTTGGCATGT